CTAGGTAACCATGGTGCAACGTTTTACGAACCATCTTCAATACCTGAAGGATTCTTTATGCTCGGATGTTATAGCCAAACGAACAACAAACCTCTATTCGGATGGATTCTTGCTGGAAAAAGTGTCGCAAATGAGACTTCACCAAGTGCACTAGCTATGCCAACAGATTATTCTCTTATATGGAGTAGTGAGTCTCATAAACTAAAACAAGATGGTGGAAATGGCTACATTTGGTTGCCAACGCCTCCTGAAGGGTACAAGGCCGTTGGTTATGTTGTCACAAACTCGCCAGAAAAGCCTTCTGTTCACAAAATTCGGTGTGTCATGTCTGATTTCACTGACGCTGTTGAAGTTGATAACTGGGTTTGGGGATTAGACAAGAATATCAACTCAAACAATCTTAATCTATTTGAATCAAGGCCAAAAGATAGAGGTATCAACGCGCTTAGTGTGCCTACTGGATCGTTTGTAGTCCAAAATGGTGGTGCACCAAATGATGTATCAATGGTTTATTGCTTGAGAAATACCAAAAATAACCTTTTGGCCATGCCGAATTTGTCGCAAGTTAAAGCATTGATTCAAAATTACTCACCTAAGGTGTATTTTCACCCAAATGAAGAGTACTTTCCCTCTTCAGTCAGTTGGTTTTTTCAAAATGGAGCTTTGTTGTATGAAAAGGGCAAAGAGACGACACCAAGCCTTATTGAACCCAATGGCTCTAACCTACCTCAAGGTGGTTCCAATGATGATTCATACTGGTTAGACCTCCCTATCGATAATCCAGCTAAAGAAAGGGTCAAGAAAGGTGATTTGGAAGAAGCTCGTGCATATTTCCACATAAAGCCGATGTTTGGGGCAACATTTACTGATATAGCCTTGTGGGTGTTCTACCCGTTTAACGGTCCAGCGAGGGCAAAAGTGGAAATCATCAATGTTTCCCTAGGGAAAATAGGTGAACATGTTGGTGATTGGGAGCATTTGACATTAAGAGTTAGTAACTACAATGGGGAGCTAAAAAAGGTTTACTTTTCAGAACATAGTGGAGGACAATGGATTAATTCTTCAGACATCGAATTTGAAAATGGAAATAAACCTGTGGCTTACGCATCGTTGCATGGCCATGCGTTTTACTCAAAACCTGGGCTTGTTTTACAAGGAAGTGGGGGGATAGGAATACGAAATGATACAGCCAAGAGCAAGGAAGTGATGGATACCGGAGTGAGGCCGGTTGTGGTGGCAGCAGAATATTTGGGATCGTTGGTGGCTGAGCCACCGTGGTTGAACTATAGTAGAAAATGGGGTCCAAAAATAAGCTACGACATTAATAAGGAGATCAAGAAAGTGAGGAGTGTTTTGCCAAGGGTGATAAGACGTGCCTTTGACAAATTTGTTAGCGGCCTTCCAAATGAAGTATTGGGTGAAGATGGTCCCACTGGCCCAAAAATGAAAAATAATTGGAGTGGGGATGAGAAATACTAATTATTTAAAGTAATTAGCATGTATAATTATCAATCGATTTATCAAGTATTATAGCATCTACCTAGTTATATTTATTTTCGGTATTGAAACTGTACAAGTTTATGATGGGCAATATGAATAAAGGTTAGGTCTAAAGTAAATAATAATAATAATAATAATAATAATAATAATAATAATAATAATAACAAAATAAAATAAAATAAATAAATAAATCGATGATATTGACGATCATGAGATATTGAGATGTTTGACTACAATTAGGGGTATGAAAAAAACCCAAACCCGACGATCATCCGAGCCCACTACTAGAAAATATGGGTTTTCCTACGGAAAATAGCTATGGAAAATTTTCGTAGCTAATTAGCTACGGAATCACTATGGAATCGCTACGGATCAGCTACAGAATAGGATGTCTTAGTTTAGTAACAGAATAGCTACGGAATAGCTACGGATGCTAGTCCGTTGCTATTCTGTAACCAATTAGCTACGGAATAGCTACAGATGCTATTTTTTAGCTAGTTAGCTACGGAATAGCTACGGAATACCTAAGGATACTAATTGTCTACCGAATAGCTACGGAGTATGCTTTCCGTTAGAATTCTGTAGCTATTCTGTAGCGGTTCCGTAGCTATAATTTAAGCACATGCCATTATGCTACAGCCATTTTTCCGTAGCAATTTCGTAGCTATCTGCTTATAGCTACGAAATAGCTACGGATTGTGCTGTAGCTATTTATCTAGTTTTCTAGTAGTGCCCGAATGTGAATAAGGCAAATAAGGTCGGGTTTAATCGGGTCTAAATTTGAAATCGGGTTTATTTGTTCAACCCAAATAACCCGTAATATGTATAGGGTCGGGTTTCGAGTATATAAAATTTCTCTTAATCAGGTTCGGGTGAACCCAGTTAACTCATTTAAGCCTATAATTAATAACATGCTGTTGTTGCTTCTATTGTACAATACTATTTAGCCTTATGTGATTTACTTGTTAGTCATGCAAAAACAATAACCGTAGTCAGAAACAAACACGCCTCAAACCCTCGCAAGTCACAACACATCTCAAACCCTTGCCACTCACAAGTTTTGTTTTTATCGTCGAGCTCTCCTATCCTCTTTGAATCAAATCCCACAAAACCGTTCTGTTTTCACGTCTTAAACTCTCAATCTTCATCACATATTCAATTTCTTTGCTTATTCGCTGAATATGTTAAATTTATATATTTAGAAACAAAATTATTAAGTTCTTTTACAAAATGGAAATGCTACACGTTAGAATCTCTTAAAATTTTATTTCAAATAATATGTGAGTTTTTATATAAACAAGTGGAGTCTTAAACAATATTGTCAATTGATTGTCTTTCTAAGGGCGTATATATAAAAGTCATTATATTTTGGAATTTTTTTACAGGCTACCAAAATAGTTTATTTCGATCAATTAAAGTCATCCATTTTAAAATATTTTTTCTGAAGTGACAATTGTTACCTTTATTTTCGGTTTAACAATTGTTACAAGTAATTAAAATGATGTGTCACTAAGCATCATATACACTTCCATTAATAAGATCCAACATTTTGAAATGCATCCTCATTACTTAAATGGTATATGAACAATGTGCTAAACCGGTAGATAAGAACTTATTGACTTCTTATTGACATAAATGTCATCATATGTATTATATTAAAATAAGATATTAATATATTATTTTTATATAGTAAATAAGATGTTATATATATATATATATATATATATATATATATATATATATATATATATATATATATATATATATATATATATATATATATATGCGAAACCTTTTTCTACAACATTAAGCTATCCATGTCTCTGAGAAACTTCCCCACCGACCCTCTTCATGTCTCGATCATTTGGTAGTAAGTTGTGTGCCTACTTAAACTCCTCTTAGCCCAACATCAGTCTAACATGACATTGGGATTACAAAAACGACATCGTTTGGCTGCCGATGAAAGCATCTTGCCTGCTTGCTTCTGTTCAGCCTGACCTCACGATGATGTAGAAGACTTAGAGGTGGGTTTTCTTCTTGATGGCATTGTTTCCCAAATCTGATTGCCACTATTGGATTTCCTTTTACTGCCACCTCTCGTGATTGCAGTTGAGTCACCCTCTTGTCTTCCTCTTCATGCCGACTCCATTTGACTTCCTCTTCACGCCGACTCCATTTGACTTCTTCTTCAAGCCGACTTTATCTTCATTATGGTTTTAAGGTATGTGTAATTTCTTATGTCTCTGGTTAGTTGTTTTATAAGGATTTAAAGTAATTTCAATTACGTATCGGTCTGATTTCTCCATCGACTGCCAAGAGCCCTAAATCAGAATCAGGTTCCCTTATAATTGGGTCCAAATTGCTAAACGTGTCTTGCTTGCTTCTAGGGTTTGTCGTATGTTATCCCAACTGGTAAGTTTCTTTTCATTAATTTTAGTTTCTTTCTTCCTTTCAATGTGTTATTGGGTTTCACTCCAAGTTGAATTGTTTGGGGCTCGTCATCCCATTTGGTATGGTTGTGAAGAGCAAATTGTAACGCCCGTTAATCAGGGCTAGTCAATTTAGAGACGATAAGCGTCAAAATGACTTTTTGATGGAAACTTATTTAGAATGATTAATCTGAACTAAGTGTTAGTATATGTTACAAGGATTTTATACATATAAAGAACGCCGAAATCCAAGTTATAACGAAGAAGTTATGACCTGTCGAAGTTTCATTACAGAACCGGCACGATGCTAAATGATGTAAAAAGTGAATTTACGATAGAGCGATATTTAGCCTTAGTGATCTAAACGACTGTTGTAGAATTAGTTAAACCGAAAGTGTGGATAAAAAGAACACCCAAATCTGACTTCGTAAGAGGAAGTTATGATTTTTCTAAGTTTCAACTTAACAGTATGCAGCCCGAAACTCGAATTTGAGATCGAGTGATTTTTGGTCGAAGCAATCTAAACAAGAATCGAAGATCTCGTTATTAGTAGTGCATTGGTGAAAAGACAGACGAAAACGGACGTCGGAGGAAGAAGTTATAACGAAGTTTTCCTATCACGGCCTACTAAAAATAATATAATAAAAATAAATTCAAAATCAGCCGATGGAGTGCAAACAAAAGTTGTATAGCATAGTCTCACCTACGCGTGGATATAAAGAACTTTGAAAACGGAGTTCGTATGAGGAAGATACGAATTTATGAAGTTTTTAAATAATTAAAATATATTTTTTTAATTATAAAATCGGATAATACCAAACCCGTGACTCATCCGGCCTTATCCACCCGGTACACCCAGCGTACATGTCGACGGAGGATTACACCCAGCGTAATTTGGGGTTACGCCCAGCGTAACTCGGGGTTTCAGCCCCTATAAATAGTAGTCGAAGACTGTCGATCTTTTTGCCAAAAATTCTCCTTTCTTTCTCATTTTTGCATCGTTTTGCGTGCAAGAAATATCTTAAATCCCTGGTATTAATCTCGAGCCCCGAAGATCTCGAGAAGTAAAATTTCCGAGCTAAAGCTCTACCCGCGAGGAGCCCGGTTTTTGTGAAGATCTCCCGGTTTCACCGAAGAATACTACTTCTACAAGTCGTAGCGCTGTCTGATCATCTTCTTATCAAGTGAGTGTGTGGTTATTTTCTTCTAACACATAAATATGAAGTATTTTCTATGATATACATGCTATGTGTTTATATATTGTTGTTTATTTGAGATGAGTGTGGAATGAATGTTTTATATAGTTTTTAAATGAGTTAAACTGTATACGTATTTTATATCTACAAATATGTTGGGTAGAACATGGTTAGATGAGATAGTTGGTATGTGATAAAATGGTGATGTAAATGATGAGGTATGAAAGATGATTAGGAATGATATTGACAGATTTACCAATTAAAGAATATCATAATACTAGCAGATACGCTTAAGAATAATATTGGTAGATGCACCAAATAGAGAATGCATAATACTAGCAGATGCGCTTATAGGATAATCCTGGCAGATGCGCTTATAGGATAATGTCGGCAGATGCGCCTAAAAGAGAATGTCATTAACCTAGCAGTCGCGCCTCATAGTGTATGACATAAACCTGGTAGAGGCGCTTAAAGGATGACGTTGGTAGATGCGCCGTATGTAGCAATGGATTTTGTGCCAATTCCTTACGTCAATCCTTAGGAATGATGAATGAAGGATAGTTGAATTCTTAGGATAAAACCTTGAGAAATAAAGAAGATAATGGGGATGGGTAATTGGGTTGATTGTTAGATGGTTGAATTTAATAATTATATTATTGTGGGTTGAAAACCCTATATGCTCACCAGGCTCCCAAGCCTGACCCACTCAGTTTTCTTTGTATCACAAGTATCAATACGAAGACATATTTCACTGAGAAATTAAAGGAGATGTAAATCATTAGTGTAAATAAATATAAGTTCTGTTTATGCTTATGTGTCTGTATCGGAACATGACATCCCGATATTTTGTTATATAATGAAAATACATTTCTTTAAGAAATGCTTTGATAAATTCTTATCATATTTTGTTTTGGGAACAAATTCTGTAACAATATTCTTTAAACAATTACTCTAATTTTATAAAACAAAGCATAGATAAATCGGTCTTTTATGGCCGTGAAATTGGGGATGTCACACAAATGATTTTGGGTTACAAAGTGTCGGTTGCACCTAATACTTTTGGTGGCCAGGTGAAGGTATACTCCCCCTATCAAACTACATTTTGTTGGATTTGAGTTACGCACAGATATTAAGTTTTAGTTTTCATTTGTTAGACAGTGGGCAACAATGCACACTAGTTGTTTGATAAGAATACCATGTCAATACTTAACTGTAAATAAAAAATTTAAAGCTATTTTTTTGCTTTTCCATCTAATAAATAGCCTCTGAATATCGATTATAGGATAGTGTAGTAATCTTTGGTCCTATGCCATTTTTTTTCAATTTTTATCAATATTCTTAATATATTATCATC